CATCTCTCCTTTTTCTCTACCTTAGGCTCTCCCTGCTCCCCAGGGATAGATTGATAGATAGGTAGGTAGATATAGTGACACACATGCACATACAGACACACCGATACAAACACTGACACATGTGGATGCACAGACACACATTAAAACACTGACATACATGCAGATACTACAGATATAGAATCACTCAACACCACAAAAAGACACACATATACAAATACTGACACAGAAACACACTCTGACACACAAGCAGCTGCACAGACAGATACAATTACTGACACAGATACTGTTTCACAGACACACTGATACACACAATGGCACACATGCAGATGCACAGGCACAGATACAAACTTTGACACCTATGCAGATGCACAGACACCGATACAAACACTGACACAGATACAGTTTCACAGACACACTGATACACACAATGGCACACATGTAGATACAAAGATACAAAAACTAACACACATACAGATACACACAGTGACACACATATTGATGTACAGACACACAGATACAAACACTGCCACACATGCAGATACACAGACAAACACTGACACACAAACAAATATAGGCACACTGATACAAACACTGACACACATGCAGAAGCACAAATATACACACTGACATACATACAGATACCGACACACAGATAAAAACACTGACACACATACAGGCACGCAGTCACAAATACTGACACACATACATTTCCACAGATACACTAATACACATACTGACACATGCAAATACACAGATACAAAGATACAAACACTGCCATATACAGATTCTGACACACAGATACACACACTGACACATACAAATACACACACTCATACACATGTAGAAGTACAAACACACATATACAAATACTGCCACACACATGCAGATACACAGACACACAGATATACACACTGACACATACAGATACACATACTGACACACATACAGATGTACAGACACATATAGTTGCACAGTCACACTGATACACAACCTTTACAGATTAAGGAACAGCGCACACATAAAAATACAGTTTTACATTTTATAAGGCTACTTAAAATCACCTATCTCAGCAAACCAATATGGACATTCGGTTCCACCATATGGCCATATTATGTTAGGCTCACCACTACTTTATGTTACTCCAATATCGGTGGGTCTTACAATAATTCTGAAGTGGAAGATAAAGTAAATTGTGCTAGTGCTAAATGAGCTAAAGTGTATTTAAATAATTTGTTGTAAGAGTATTGTGAATATATATCATGCAAAATGTATGTGATAAGCACAATACAAAAAAACACAGTGTCAAAACCAAGCAATCAAATAGATAATGCTTTGAGGTATATATTCACAATGCATAGCATATATATGCTCTATACCAAATAAAAATTATAATGAAAGTGACATTACTATCCAAAACCTCCTAATATTTATCCCATCCTGTGGTCACCTCCAAAGGGGCATCTAAAGCCTGGGTGGGGGATGGGGGGGGGGTTGGGTGCTCAACACAAAATTACTCTGCTCTGGACTCCAAAGTTACAGGGTAAAGAGAAAAAGGGAATTGGGAGCACACCCAGAATATGTATTTCTCAGCAATGACCCTGCCTTAGAGACCAAATTTTATACAATATACAGAACAACACACACATAAAAATACAGTTTTCAATTTTATAAGGTTACTTAAAATCGAGAGAAAGTAAGCCAGACAGTTAAATGCAAGTCGTTCCAGAAGCTTTGAGGAGAAAGGGAAAACATTGTTTTTAATGATAGTTAAGCTTATCCTATAAATACCAGCTGTGTTAATTCCAATTGATTAAGGCCCATACATACATTCATGTGGTTGTGATAAAGAGGGCCACAAATATTATAGATGGTGACGCATTCTTCATTTGTAAAATTCATTGACAATTTTTAAATTAATATTGTGCCTTTTTTTCATCTTGACCTAGACCAGGGGTAGGCAACCTTCGGCACTCTAGATATGGTGGACTACATCTCCCATAATGCTCTTACAGCCGTAATGCTGGCAAAGCATCAGGGGAGGTGTAGTCCACAACATCTGGAGTCCCAAACGTTACCTACCCTGACCAAGGAGTTAAAAATAGTAAATTTACACATATAGTTTTTTTAATGGCCCCCTGATATTCCTGGATCTTCGCTCACAAATAGTTAAAGGACCACTATAGTGCCAGGAAAACATACTCGTTTTCCTGGCACTATAGTGCCCTGATGGTGCCCCCACCCTCAGGGCCCCACTCCCCCCGTGCTGGATGGAGAGGAAGGGGTAAACACTTACCTTTCTCCAGTGCCGGGCTCCCTCAGTGCTGGAGACTCTCCTCCTCCTTTCCTCGTCATCGGCTGAATGCGCATGGGCGGCAAGAGCCACACGCGCATTCAGCCAGTCTCATAGGAAAGCATTCTCAATGCTTTCCTATGGACGCTGGCGTCTTCTCACTGTGAAAATCACAGTGAGAAGCGTGGAAGTGCCTCTAGCGGCTGTCAATGAGACAGCCACTAGAGGCTGGATTAACCCTAAAGTAAACATAGCAGTTTCTCTGAAACTGCTATGTTTACAGCAGAATTGGTTAATCCTAGGTGGACCTGGCACCCAGACCTCTTAATTAAGCTGAAGTGGTCTGGGTGCCTATAGTGGTCCTTTAACCTAATTCTTCTCTCTGAATTCATGTTTACAAAAAGAGAGGTGTGTAGAACAAAGGCTGGCATGCCATGGGCATGGGTGGTGATTTATTCTTCCTTTGTATTCACTGAGTGTGAAGGATTTTATAATCGTCTTCGGTAGGTAGCTGTCTATCTTCCCTGACAGAGATGTTAGAACGGATGTGCCTGCAAAGGAAGCTGTTTATGTGTTTTTTATGGAGGAAAAAAAACTAATTTTTTTAACCACTTGTATTTCAGAGGTGCTTTTCTACATAATTTAACATTAAAGGGAGTCTCAGGTTTACACCCCAGTACCAAAGTAGACATGCAGTATCAGTGAGATAAAAGAATAGGGGACACAAAACTGAAACAGAAATTCACACCTTTATGTAACAACTTAATTTTTCCACGTTGGATTATGCAGTCTTTTTGAAGGGTTTGGATGATATATGAATCTGCAGTATTATCCAATACATATTTTATTTTGATTGAAATAAGTATCTCTGTACATTGATGTAACCAGGCCAAAATGCTCTGATCTATAATTGAGTAGGTGTGTTGAAGAGCCGCTGTAGGATTTAGAAAGCTTGGTACCTGAGAGAAAATACTGTTATTGTATTTCAGCCAAATGTTATTCTTATTTCTTTCAATCTTTTCAACAATTTTTTGGCAAGCAAAGAGAGTTAAACTACCGAAACTAATCAGGCTTATCATCGTTTCTGACAGTTTATATTATTACTCATTCTATATTGTATATGAAGACAGTGTGTGCCAGACTTTATATTTAAACAGTATCATCTTAAAAAAAGCTTGTGTGCGTATAAGCCTATTTTGTCTGTCCGTTTCTCCATCCACCCATCCATCCTCTGTCTGTTGATTTTGTCGGTTTGTTTATGAAGCATCACCATATACTGAAGTAATGTTTTAACTCAATATATTTTGGTGCAAAAGGTAGAGGTGAGGGTCTGCCTCAGAAGGGAGACAGAATATGGTTCACACTGCACCCTCTCCGCATGCTGTCATTAGTGTTGCCAACCTAAACAGAGGTAGAGAATCTTCATGCCCAAAGAAATTATGTTTGGCCTTAAACCCGCTTGTAACGGAGCTCCTTGTACTCCGACTGAGTACCCTCCGTTGACGGATGCTCCTAGCGCTTCCTGAGGACTCCAAGCACTGCAGCAGACACCACAACCACCGCAGACTCCGCAACCGCCGTATCTTGACTGGAGTCTCGCCGTCTTCCTTCCACCCTGGATCAGCTTCTGTCCTCCAGGACTGTGTGGGAAAGAACTCTTCCTTCCACCCTGTATGAACCTCCAGCATCCAGGACTGTGTGGTGAAGACCCCTCCTCCAAGGAGAGCGTGTCAGGAACAAGCTCTTAAAAGAGCTAAGTGACTCAAGCTCAAGGGAGCATGCAGAGCATAGCAATCCCCAGTGTGATTATAACAGCTCCCTCCAATAACGAGACAAGGCTACGTTTAGAGGGATCAAGAAGAACTGTCAAAACCTTTATTCCCTTGGGACCAGCCAATACAGTCACCACAATAACATTGTTGTGAAACCTCAATAAAATCACAAACAGTCAAAACACATCAAGCAACACACAGTGACTTATCACAACACAATGGTACATTTTTAAAGGGATGGGGGGAGACAATATTTAACATTAAATATCTCACCTGCCTGCAGAATTAGCAATATGCAAATCTACCCGAATATGCAAATGAACCAGTCTTGCAATTCAGGTAGTGCATATTGCTGTTGCTACCAACAGAGGGCACTAGACCAGCTCCATAGCCAAACCCACCTAGTTGGTAGCAAACCACAGCAATACAAGAGAGCAGGCAATACATTACACAGTACATACACACACACTGTAAACAATTACATTACACACACCCTGCACCTATAATGGGTACAGGGTGACTAAAACATAAGAGAAATAAAGCAGCCTACATAAATAGTCTGTCTGAAGGTAGACTAGGGGCCTTAAAGCCAAATACATCAAAGAGTCATAGTCACAGGGGAGGAGGCTGGCAAGCAGGCCTCTCCAGTACCAAGTGGTGAAGGGCACTTCGTCACACCGCTTCACGTAAACATTTAAAATTACAGACTGAGTAAAGGGAGACGCACAAGCAGGAAAGGGGATTAGGAGAGACACAAGGAGTAAAGGAGTTTGGCTGCCTAACTTCTGAGCTCTGACCCGCGCAGCAATATACAGAGCACTAAACGCCCAGACACCCACCAAACACCCAGGAGGCAACCGAACAACTCGCATACCGGCTCACTAGACGGGTACCTCCAAACACCGAGCAGACTGCCACAAGCTGCCCAGGGCCCAAAGATGGCTGACGGCCAGGCCTCACCGCCGGAGACAGAGTCGCATGCACTGTCCCTGGCAGACATAAGGGCGGACATCAGAGCCCTCACTAGTACCACGGTCACGAAATCTGACCTGAAGAGTACCTCCGACACACTCCACGAGGCGATACGAGCAGAAGTCGCCATGTTGGGGAATGATATAGCGGCGCAAGGCAACCACATCCATTCATTGGAGCAAGCAATGACTGGCCGCATAGAAGCCAATAACCTAGCGATCAATCAGCAAGGAATCATCCTCCTACACCTCAGGCTGCAGGCGGAGGATCTTGATAACAGGGGACGCAGATCCAATATAAGAGTCCGCAACCTCCCTGAATCGAACGGCGAAGAAAACGTGGAGACCACACTCACCACTTTGTTTAAAGAAATATTGGGTCCAGATGCACCGCCCAATATCAGATTTGACAGAGCTCATAGGGCAACAAGATCGAGAAACATTGATAATTCACCCAGGGACATTGTCTGCTGTTTACACAAATTTAAACTAAAGGAACTAATCATGTCTAAAGCCCGATCCAAGCAGTCCTGGCCATTCCAGGGAGCAGAGGTAGCCCTATACCAAGACTTATCACCCCTCACGCTGGAGGCCCGCAGGGCTCTCAGACCGGTGACCCAACTATTGAGATGTCATAACATTCCGTATAAATGGGGTTTTCCCTTTAGCCTGTTGGCCCGACATGAGAATGAGTGGATCCCCGTAAGATGGCCAGATGAGGTGCCTGTGTTTCTGAGGCGACTGGGCTTGCCGCACACAGAGGTAGTTGATTGGATCCTGGGACCACTAGAACTACGGCCTGGCCCACTGGCACAAAGAGCTGCACGACGCCGCAGAGAAGACTCACCGTGTAGACTGCCTGCACACAGACCCCGCAACCCGGCGCAGCAAGCCGAATGAACGGGACACCAACGCTACAAGCTACTTAGAGACTCCCTCGACTGGCAGCACAGGGACACCGTCAGGTCTAAGACCCACTCAGATAAGTACTTTTTACCCTATCCCGACATGCACCGACCTATGGCCTAAGACTGCTGACCCATCCCATCTGAGACTCCCCTCACCACTGGACACGACGGAAATGACTAATCCACCATAGACTACAACCATATAACCGCCAACACATCCTCTACCTAGTGGAACTGAAAACACTTGCTCACTGACGAGGGATCAACACCACTGCCCCCACTGAACAGGGGATAAGGGATGCTGGACGGTTATTGGGGAGGGGGGTGAAGGGAGGGAGGGGGAGAAACCTAGCCACTTGGAACTGAAGGGACGCATCGCCCAGATCGCTAACACCCCGAGAGGGAGGGAAATAGCCTCTGCCACTGGCCCTAATGGACTGCTGGGGGCCAGGAGGGGATGGGGCCGGGAGGGTTGGGCCAATAAGACGGGAGGGGATACCTGAAGGGGGAGCACAACGACGTTGGGTGGGAGAAAAGATACGGAGAGGGGAAGGAATAAAAGGGAGAAGTCACTAAAAGCAAGAGATGAAAAGGGAATGTTTAAGTGATATGAGGACGAAATGTGTTGAAATGCATGTATTCAAGACGATCCACGATGCATAGACCACATAAGCCCAGGCGAGACCAGATAAGCGCAACAACCCTACACTTTATAACGGGAGGTGCCTGGATGGCACGCAGCCACGCTCATATTTCAAACCACTCCCACATTGGTGCCCTAGAAGGTACCCAAAGACCACACCCACCAAAGCCGGCACACATTGGACTGGTACAACCCCCCCCCAAGATGACGTGACTTAATGAGGAACTATAATGGCCTCGACCGACCCTACCACACGCCCCTCCCCTCCCACCCCCCCGCCCCCCCAAAAAAAACATCTGAGACGCAGATGACGATAGACTAAAGACGAGATGTTCTAGGCTGCCGGGAAAGGGGGACCGCACTAACGTAGAATAAGAGACTAACGGAATAAACCCAGAAGGAGAGTACACATCTGCTTGTAACCCAAGCTTCATAGTGCACACATGAAGAACAAGACTACACCTACTACTCAACACTGCACCGCAGATACTCCCGGATGAATTACATATGCATACAACAGCAAGGACTCACCTACCTAAGGAAGGCAGACATCCAACCCACTCCCTGGTCTGACCACCGTGCAATGAGAGTGAAACTGGAGTCGCCGTTGTACCGCCCAGCCAGGACGACATGGAGACTCAACGACACACTTCTTCTAGACAAACCGTTGAGAGCACAAATCGCCGAACATATCCGCCAATACTTTGAAGAGAACACCACAGACGACCTGCCAGACATGACTATATGGGAAGCGCACAAAAGTGTCCTGAGGTACACACCAAGCGGGCAAGGAACCTCACTGGACACCACAAGACACTCACACTACCACTCGAACTAGGTACAGGCCGCAACCCGAACCAGGCCTGCGTATACCAGGACTACAGAGGGGGCCACGGCTGCAGGCGCTCCAGTAATTACCGTGTGGTACGGCATGGACATCCACCCAGTTACATGGGACTCCACCCAACTTAGGGGGAGACACAACCACACACTAAGTTAAGGGGACACGTACCTGCCCTCACCGACATACACTACAACAACAAGGAAAAGACATAAAACTCAGCCAACGGGAAGGCAACACAACACACTACTCCCGATTTGGTTACAGGATACTCCTGCGAGCCATCACACCTGACGCGCCCCGCGTGTGCCTGCTTGCACCCCCCCGCGCACATGACGTGCGCTTAGCGGTCCGGTGGGCTCTGGTCCCTGGCCCACGAGGGAGATAAGGGATTACCCCGCTGATGGTACTTACAAAACCATACATATCTAAGGTGAGTAGACGCCCGAAATGGCATACTCACCGGCACCCCTGATCATAACAACGTAGAACTGTAGGGGACTTAATGCCCCAGAAAAGAGGACACACCTCTTGAGAGACCTCAAGAGACAACATGTCTCAATTGCTCTCCTACAGGAAACACATCTGAAGGTGGATGGGAATTTGCTACTTAAAAATCGACACTACCCACTGAATTTCTATAGCAACCATCCCACGATGAGAAAAACGGGAACAGCTATTTTAATCGCTGCCAACCTCCAATTCGCGGTTACAAACAAGCTGACAGATGCGGATGGAAGATACCTCTTCGTTAAGGGGGAGATGGCCGGGAAAACGTACACAATTGCAAACATGTACGCCCCAAACTTGGGACAGGCCAGCTTCGTCCGCAGAACGCTGAGGAAGCTGGACAAATTCACGGAAGGAGTTCTGATACTGGGAGACGACCTAAAATTTCCGCTGTACCCTCTGGTAGACACACGGAGCAGTATTCCAGACTCGACCATAAAAACTATCCAAAAGTCCCTTAGAAACCTCAGACTAATAGACACGTGGAGGGCACTCCACCCCATAGAACAAGACTACACCTACTACTCAACACTGCACCGCAGATACTCCCGGATCGATTACATATGCATACAACAGGAAGGACTCACCTACCTAAGGAAGGCAGACATCCAACCCACTTCCTGGTCTGACCACAGTGCAATGAGAGTGGAACTGGAGTCGCCGTTGTACCGCCCAGCCAAGACGACATGGAGACTCAACGACACACTTCTAGACGAACCATTGAGAGCACAAATCGACAAACATATCCGCCAATACTTTGAGGAGAATACCACAGACGACCTGCCAGACATGACTATATGGGAAGCGCACAAAAGTGTCCTGAGGGGACACCTCATATGAATGGCAACGCAGAAGAAAAAAGAAGCTGGCGAACAGCTAAGAGACCTCACCCGAAAGATAGCGGACCTGAAACAGATGCACAAAAGGACCCAACAAGATCAGACATACAGGGACCTGATCACAAAGAGAAGGCAGCTCACAGATATCATAGAACGTAAACACACAAGACAGGTACAACGTTCAAAAGCATTTTTCTACATGCACGCTAACAAGGGGGGAGGCTACTCGCCCAAATGCTTAGAGGCCCGCAGAAACAGGCACAGATACACACCCTGAGCACCAGACGAGGCAAACTGACACAATTCCCAGGGGAAATCGTGGACGAATTTTGGTCATTCTACACAAAACTGTATAACATCCCCGATGCAAATGGAGACGTCACCGCCGCACAGAAACGAACCAATACCGCAAGATACTTACAAGACTTCAACCCAGACACCCTCACACTGGAGGAAGCGGAAGCGCTAGATGCACCTGTAACTGAAGAGGAAATTAAGCTGGTCTGACAGCAGACCTAGCCTTGCTACACCACACGGAAGGAACGCTCTCAGCATACAAAAGATCGATCCTTAGACACCTGCTAAACGCGGCGAAGGTGCTGATACCGCTACTATGGAAAACAGCGCACCCACCGACAATTGGACAATGGAGACACAGAGTGGAAGAAATACAAAAAGCTGAATCCACAATAGCAAACCTACTAGGGCGACAGGAAAATCACACAGAGCAGTGGAGACTCTGGTATGTATATTGCTCACAGAACACGGTCACCGATTAGGAGGGGGAGAGAAGGGCGACACCACCGCGTCTGCGTCCACCCGGGCCTACCCGTACCCACGGGGCGGGGGACCTGGTGGGGGCGGGGCTCTCCAGGGCTCAGACAAAGGCCAAATTAATAGAACAGAACCAAGGGTGGCAGGAGAACATGAGATGGCCGCCAAAGGAAGGGATGCCAAACACAACTCTTGAAAAGAGAGTACAATGATTCTGTAAGATACGGAAACCAGAAACGGCAGACAGCACTACGCTACACAACCACATGCTCACACATGTTCAAACACAAGAACGCGCACCCACATGGGGGCACGCTACAAAATTCACGAAGTACACACAGGACCACGTACCACACAGGTACATCCACGCCTCTGACCAAAGGGTCCGGCACACAAATACGAAACTAGAGGCTCAACCAGACAAAGGATAAAACACCCAAGAAGCAGAGGCTTCAAACAGACGAGCGCCAAGGGAGGGGGAATAAATATGGAATACCCCTCAGCGGGGAACACATCAGACACCCACTCCAGCGAATATATGGACAAAACAGGGGTAACTGAGACGGCTATACTGGATACGATGGTGGCGACTCACTATCCAACACCACACACAACGAATCGCAAACTGAAAAGCCGTGAGACGTGAACACTAGATGGTACACAGACACACCACAAATTCCCACAGGAATTCAGATGTGAAGAAACCCACTAGGTCGAAAACGAACAAACCCTGACACACCACACGCGAACGGGAACTGTGGCACAAGCAGTAAAGGGGGGGGACTAAGACATACAGGTGAACCCTTGCGGGTACCAGCCTCCACACCAAGTCTCTGGAGAGATGACTAAACACAAGACAACCGACACACACCACTGGGCTGACCCCCTCCCCTAATATACCTGAGGAGGCAAGCACTACCCAACACAAATAGTGGCCAAATACACGAACATGATACAAGGGAGACGTGCCATCCCTCACGGGACCACCCCACACCCATAGAAGTCACCAATAGAATAAAACACACTCTAAGGATTGGGGGGTAAAACGGCTACATTGAATTGAAAAGCTAACCAATGCCCCACTAACAGGGCGCTAAGGGCCACAGAAACAAAGCAGTACTGACACGATTCCCCTAACCAAATGTTGTGGAGACCTGCGCATCTCGTTGCTCATAAATGCTGATGTAGAACTCTGACGCCTATCTAACTACAGGCAAACAAGTTAAACACGTTACCTGAACTTAAACCGCAATACGGTCATGTCTAGTCTAGACTCTAACATAAGCTCAACCAAGTTGGATCTGCGAATCCAAAGCGCTTGAACAGGTTGTCTAACTGCAGACCGGAGACAATGGAGACCTGCGTGTCTCATTATTTTGCTACGTAACTGTTATGTCTACCTGTTTTATTGGATATTCATCCTACAATAAAAATCTAATTTACAAAAAAAAATTCAAAGTGCAAGTGCTCATAAAGAAATAATTAAATAGTGTCATTATTAGGCATGCAACAAACCAAATAAATCCTGGTAAAAAGATCCTTGATAAATAATTAATAAATTGGTGCGCAAAACATTTAAATATTCTGTACTCGTATCACAATCTATAACATGTATCATAAAAATAGAAACAATGTGTATAAGTGATCATTAAAATACCCTGATTATAAAAATAATCAGTGATCTACACAGGTGTAGCACAATTAACAATGTGATAATTAGCAAATAAAACCTATAGATATACTTGCACAAACAAATTATATTGTTCTTTCATAAATCTGCAAAAGATAAAAGTACAGAGATCATTGCAATACGTGTAATTAAGAAATTTGGGTAAGTAAAAAAATTCATCTGCTTTTGCAATTTGGACCAACGGCATTCGGTTCGGCACTTCGGACATTGATAAGCATCCGAATTGCATGAAATTCGGACGAATGTACATTCGGAACTAAACAAATTGCACATGTCTACTGGTCACATGAATGCAAGCCAGCACCCTGACAGCCTGATCTATATGCTATCCCACGTCAATGACTCATTGGCCAAGTGTCAGTGACAAAATCACCATTAATTGGCTGTCCTCTAACATCAATCATAAAAATTTGCTCATTTCATTGGACAGGGAATAGTGAAACCGGATTGGACAAGCAAGCATTACATTGCACAAGAGGAATTATTTTATTGGTCAAGATTCCTGTCATCATTCACGTAATTTTCCCTCCCTCTCTTTTGTTTTTCCACTTTTCAGAAATCCGAATCACTTTGGCACTTCTGAACTACCGAACTTTGTCACTTTGGCGCTTCGGGACTTTCGTAAGCATCCGAATGACATTAAATTCGAATGAATTTACATTCGGAACAAAACAAATTGCACATGTCTAGTCTTTAACCTGCAGAACTACATATTGCCACTAAGTACATCTAAAACAGTGTCTATTTCAGTGGCAGGACACTACATACTTATCCTATATTCTTTCTACGCTTCTTACAATAATACTTTCCACAGGTATATATTTATGTAGTTCATAAAACTTTTCTGTGTCATGGATATTTCCCAGCCATTGTATCAACCTTCTGAATGTACTCTAACTGGCACACTTCCTCGATCCTACTCTTTTCACACCACACATGTCTTGTGTTTATCTAAGACTTTTTTTGAGTGTCGTGACTAGATTTATCATAGAAAGGCATTGCTCTATTATTTATAAAATAAAAATATCCCATTGATTTGTTAGTGGGTCATCTTTTTTTTTTCAACTTTACTAAAAATGGAGCAAACAGTTGCTGTACCCTAGTTTTGCCAAGATTAATACGCCATTTGATGTAACCAGTAGATATTTTTACAGTCAATAAATTACTTTATGAGCAAGTGCAAAAGATGAAAAGATCCTGTAATTTCTTACTTACTGCACTGCAGCGTATAATAGTCTTCTGTTTCCGCATTGATAACTTCTGTATAGATGGTGGTTTTAACACTATAGGGTCAGGAATGCATGTTTGTGTTCCTGACCCTATAGTGCTCTTTTAATTTTGAATTTGCTCTGAATTATTACTTTAGGGTCCATCAAGCTCTTGAAAATGTATTTGCACAGTAAGGCTTTAGTCAGTGTGCCTCATGGTTAAAGTACCATAAACATGCATTAAAATGACCATAAATATGCATTCTCATAGCTAGTTCACTAGTTGAAACAAAGGAAGATATACTGATGAAGTAGAGAAACTTATACACTCTCACCAGTAACCAATTATATTCTAGTTTTCATGGTTTTCTGATATTTCTATATTAAAATGGGTGCGGTACATTTAAACACAAACTCACAGTTCCCACATGTATTCTGATCTAGCGCTTTTATCTTGGCTAATAGTGCAAGTGTTGATGCTTCTTAAAGTGGCTCTGCCAACTTCTAGAGACTTTGCATATTCAGCAAAGGCCGTCAATGGTAATATAACCACTTGGGGAGCAGTGCAGACATACAACATTGATGCCTATGGAGCTCCTATAGATAATATATTGGTGTGACTGTAGCACTACTTAGAGATTTACTCCACTCGTTATAAGCATTTACTAAAGATTTTATCTTTATGATATACTCAAAACGTTTGGGAGGTGACCGACTGGCCACTTGTATAACATAACATACATTATCTCTGTTTGGGCATTTGTCCAGGAGAGCTTGGTTTGTGTGTACACACTAATACAGGAATGCCTAGTGTGAGTTCCTCCAACTGTTATTATTAACACTGGCATGATCAGAAAACAAGGCTGTATAGTCCTAATCCTGCGTGGAATCTGAACAGTACAAATATTTGCCCACTTGCCATTCATCTGGCATGATTAGAAAGCAAGGTATACAGATCCAGAAAATGCTAATTTTTAAGGATTATTTGCAGCCTTGTAGTTAAGTATTTAAATCCCCTTTTCAGCAGGAAACAGAAAATGCATAGAGTTGCAAATCCGCATAATGCCGTGTTACAGTGTTAGCATTTTCACAATGACAATGCGGGGGAAAGGAAATAATTTTATTGTTGCATTCTAAACTAATCTCTGAAAGTGATATTTGCTAGTAAAGTATTATTGAGCATTAACTGTAAAGCGTGAGGCAGTCAACAGCTCTGTATGTGTTTAACAGCAAATCATATTAAGCAATCAGGGCCACTGTGCACAAAGATTTGAGATAGCTTTAAAGAAATACTATAGAGTTGGGAATACAAACTTACCCAGTGCCTAA